CTACTGGGGCTCAACCTCTCCTCCTGTCCTCAGCACCCCTGGCCTCGGGGGACCCCACATCTCCACGTGGCCCTCCTTGGTTGGGTTCCAGATCCCTGGGGGCCTCAGCTCCTGGCCTCATCGTGGAGACCCCAACTCAGCCTCCGACTCTGGGTCTCCTCAGACTCACCCTAAGTTCCAGTGTTGTGACAGCCAGAGCTCATACCCTTCTGCATCGCGGCCCTGCCCTCCTCTGAGCCCCTCTTACTGCAGTTCCCACCCAGCGGCAGGTAGTCCGCTGCACACCGCCCTGCTGGGGACACAGGGACGGGCTCCCGCTGCACCAGGGTGCCTCTCACTCCAGTCATCCCAAACCCACAGCCTCCGTCCAGGGCCCAGTGCTGGCCGCTGCTGGGGATGAAGCTCAGCCCTACCCACCAGGGACCGACAGTCTGGGGGGGACAGGGGCACGAAGGCACAAATTTCCTGCCACGAAGGGAGGGCCACCACCAGGGCCTGAATGGGGAGCTCTGAGTGCACAGTGGGAAGGGCGACCGGTGCTGCCAAAGGGGGTGGGGCAGGCTTCCCAGACGCCGGGGGTGGGCCAGACTCCGGAGGGGGAACACTCCCCACTCACAGGAGAGCATGAGCCAAGAGTGGGGAACAAGGAAGGATTGCAGTCAGCCAGTGCGGCTCGGGTGACACTGAGATCATTGGCTGTGGAGGAGCAAGGAGCTTCTAGCACATTCTCATCCATTTTCAGCCAGTTTTGCCCTTCCTTTCACTCTTCATAGCCAAAAAAAAGCCTGTCCCCAGCAATTTTTTAGCTGTTCGCTGGAACATTTACAAATCAAGCTGGCATTTCTATTTCATGAATATATTTGGTCTACTAATGGCCAACAGGAAAGATATTAATGGTCTCAGGAGAACCCGGTCACCCCCCAATGCCACCCACTCCAATGAACTCATTCCCACAGAACCCTGCAAGTGGGCAAAACATGGGCACCACTCACAGCCAAGCCCAGGGCAGTGCACCTGCCGCAAATTAGAGTCAGCCTGAATTTAGCCACACGCCTCCAGTTAGGCGCCTAAACTTGATTTATAAAGAAGGCCTCTATTAAGTTCTTAAATCTCCTCTTGTCCATCCGGGGGTGGCCCCTGGAATATGATTTTAAATGTTTTCCATGACATCAATGAACAAGGAAGAAGCCGGCTGTGAATTTCAAACCCATAACTTTCTTACCCGGGGAGAAGAGCCTGGGCCAGTGGGGCCGTGAGGTGGGTGGGACCCTGCTGGCCTAGGGAAGGGCTTCAGGAGACCTCCAGAGTGGCTGGGTGAGGTGACACCAGGACCCACCCGCATCCTGGGACACACTCTGTACCAGATACTGGAGAGGCCAAGATTTCTTTAAAAACAATAAGATAAAAATAAATAAATAAATAAGATCTTACTGTTGCCTCCACACGATGCCAGCAGAATAACACATGCTCCCTACAGAAAATCGAGATGGAGGAGAGAGAAAACCACAAAGAGGAAAATCTCCCATGATCCTCCTGCTCAGACATCAGTTCTGGAACATTCCAGAGACTTTGTCCTCTCTGGCCTCCCTGCTTCCACTCTAACTCTGCAGTCCAGGCCTTTGAACATGTTTTTAAAGGTCACCCCCCACACACACACAAACCTCCCAAAATCCCCATCACACTTAGAATCAACCCCAAACTCCAGTGTCCGGCCCACAGGCCTATGTGAGCCCGAGCCTGCCTCCCCAGATGCAATTGTGTCCCCATCACCAGAATGCCAGCCTGCTCGGTGCCTCCCGCCCCATGTCACCCCAGAGCCCGTGACACAGGTGGCACGTGGTGGGTTCTCAGTGAAGCAGACTGAATGGCTGAATGAGTCCTTCCTTCTGGTCGTTCCTCTGTGTGTGTGCGTGCATGCGTGTGTGCACGTGTGTGTAAACTGCAGACATAGCTGAGAACATACAGCAACGATTCCCACAAACTCCACAAACTTTGCACAAACTGCTCTGCAACTTCCCCCGTGGCTCAACCTCCTGACCAGATGTCCCCTGTCCTGTGGGACCCGCCCATGACCCCTGTCTCCACCCCAGGGGGGAAATGCCAGCTCACGGTGGCCACTGTACCATGTAGCAGCACTTCACAGTTTACAAGACCCGATCAATTCCTCCACTCTAAGGGAGCCTGCAAACAACCTACCTCCAAAGAGGTAGGCAGGGCAACAGGAGCCTGGCTCCCGGCATCTAAGATGAGGCCACTGAAGCTCAGAGAGGTCATGTGGCTTCTGTCATTACCTGGGCAGGAAGCAGACCCAGGACATCTTGCCCCACATGGCGACGTCTACACCTTTACATTGGATCAGAGAGATTTCACCATAAGAAGAACAAGAAAGGAGATGGAGGTGAGCAAGAGCTGAGCTCCGGAGCCCAACTAACCGCCAGGGTTACTATCTGCGTGGCCTTGGATGAGTCACTTCCCTTCTCTGGGCCTCAGTTTTCTCCTCTACAAAATGGGGACGATAACACTTCCTGCCTCATTCTGTTGCCGGGAGGATTAAATGATCTGATGACACACCCAAAGGGCATAGAACAGTGCCTGGCACATATTACCATTCATCAAACACTAGCTGTCTAAAAAAGCACACCTGCCCAGGTGGATGAACCTACGTGGACCTAATGCGTGCACCACCCAGCCCTCAGCCACGATCACATCCCGGGAGACCCGGACTGCCAGCCCACGGAGGCTGAGTCGTACTCTTGTAAAACAGGGCAGCCCAGGTGGTTCAGCGGTTTAGCGCCACCTTCGGTCCAGGGTGTGACCTTGGAGACCCAGGATCGAGTCCCACATCCAGCTCCCTGCATGGAGCCTGCTTCTCCCTCTGCCCGTTTCTCCTTCTGCCTGTGTCTCTGCCTCATTCTCTCTCCCTCCCTCCCTCTCTCTCTCTCTCTCTCTCTCTCTCTGTGTCTCTTATGAGTAAATAAATAAAATCTTTAAAAAAATAAAATAAAAAACAGGCAGGTCCCCAAAAAGTCCACTCCTATTTAAATGTTCACTCATGTGCGAATTCCTTACCTCTCGGTCAAGTAGAAGAGGGGCTCCCCATTCTTGGGTCTGAGCCCCCCGACCCCACCCCACATGAATGATAGGCCTTGGCATCAGCAAACACTTTGAGGCAGCAAAGGGGAAAAGCCTGGAGGAAAGGAACCCTTTCTGAAAGGGAGACCCCTCTGTAAGCTCACACTCCTCACTCACCACGAGCCAGGCAAATAGATCAATCCAGCTCCAGGTGCAAATTATGAAGACCCCCCCCCCAATTCCCGTGGCACATTGTTCTGACTTCCGTGAAGAGGCAGGTAGAGCCTCTTTCTAAAATGCCCACCTTACGGTCCTGGACCCCTGGGCCCCCAGTTCTCCCGAGGCTCAGAGTCGTGGCCGGCCCAGCCGTCTTTTCCAGGGCCCTCACCCACAGTGCCCCTTACACCGGCCACAGTGCACGGCGACTCCTCTCATGCCTGCCACACGCCTGGCCTCAGCTGCCCCCTTCCCTGCACCAACAGCACGTGGCACTGTCCCTACCACATGGGTAGCTGTGGGGTGCGTTCAGCCACTGCAGGGGATGGGACCTCGTGGGGGGCCGGGGCTCGTCGGAAACGGTCCCCACCCTTGAAAACCTCGGTCGACATCCTCTACTGCCTCATTGGGACAAAAACAGCCCCTGTCCCCAAATTCACCTGGTTCCCAAAAGTCACTTATGCCGGTACACACAGCTGAGTGCCCACCCCAGCATCGCCGTTCCCAGAGTCATTCATTCATCCATTCATTCATTCGCCCATTCATTCATGCAAGGAGACACAATAAAGCGACACACTGGGTCTGGCCCACAGTGGGAGCCTGGCATCTGCCTCGGACACAGAGTCTTGGCTCAGTCAAGCGCAGCCTCACATCCTTGGGGACCCACAGCCGGGGGGTGAGATGTCAGCAAGGCTCCCTTCCTAGGAGGCAGCACGGGGCCAAGTAGGAGCCGGTGGCAGACCCAGCCTGCACGAGCTCTCTGCTCTCTCCCACCCGGGCCTTCACACGTTTCAGCCCAAGCAAGGCACTTGATCAGAATTTCCCATTTGAAAAATCAATATTTAAAGCTCCAAGCCTGCCAAGCAGAGGGGAAGGCCTTGCTTGTAAATATTTGTCTCGACTGGCAGAGCCAGGCCTCTCGCTCACTGCAGCCTCCCCGCGTCGCTCCTGGCCCTCTGCTCACGAAGCTCCCAGCCAACAGTGCAGCGGGAGGGACCCGGGGGGTGGGACCGGCTGGCGGGCCAGCAGGCCAGGCTGGGCACGGAGGTGGCCGGCTCTGCACCCACACCTCCAAGCCCGGAAGCTTGTAGCGAGGACCACCGGGGGCCCTCCATCTGACCCCCAGGCCCCGGCAGAGACAAACCCCCTCTGAGGTTTCTCTGGATTCCAAGCAAGCCACTTCTCCCAGGGGGTGCTCCACATTTCTATCTCTTTTGTTTGGAAAGAAAGCAAAAAGCTGAAGACAATTCCCTGGGGATGTGCTTATAAATCACCGCCCAGCATCGCCCACTGCGTGGGACAGCGCTCTGCAGCCCCCACCAACACCTGCCCCTGGGGGAGCCTGCAGAGGCCCCCTGCTGGCAGCCAGGCCCCCTCCCAGGGGAAGCCGGCACCATGGCGGTGGGTGGTCCATATGGCCGAGTGCCCGCCCCGGCATCGCCATTCCCAGAGAGTCATTCATTCATTCACACATTTGATCATTCATTCACCAATTACTTATGGAACACCTACCTGTACCAGGCACGGGGGCGTGCGGGGGGCTAGACACGCAAGCAGACGTTAACAAACCTGGGCAAAAGCCCCTCGGGGGGCATCTCCCAGGCCAAAAGGATCGAGTGCTAGGGTAGGAGATGGCGAGGTGTGACAGAGTGGGAGGACAGGGAGGGCTTCGCGGGGCAGCAGAGCAAGGCCACCTCCTGCCCAGCACCTACCAAGCCACTCGTTGAACTTCTTCACCTCGCTCGGGAGCCCCAGCTCCGTGAAGTCACCGGCGTGGATGAGCACGTCGCCGTAGGGCATCTGGATGGGGTCCGTCCTTGAGTGGGTGTCAGACACACAGACGAAGCGGGTATAGCCAGGAGGCTTGGGGGCATCGTGAGGCACGGGGTCCACCCTGCAGGGAGAGAAGACACTGCAGGTGCTCTGTGTCTGGCCCGTGGCCGAAGCTGCAACTCAGCCCCGTCGGCTCAGACCCCATCCACCCTGAACCCTCAGGGGTCTGAGCGCCAACTCTCCAGCTTGCTAGCTGGGCAATAACAGGTGTCCCCTGGGCCTCAGTGTCCCCTCTGTAACATGGGGCCCTCGGAGGGCCCACGGAGGTGGGCGCAGTGTGATTGTGACAGCTAACCCTCCTTCCTATCACCCCTTGCAGGGCCTTTTTAGATGTTTTTTCCCTATTTGCTCCCCTCCCAGGAGATTTTTAACACCACAGAAAGCTCTCTATCTGTTCGTGCACTCACTGTTTGTCTATCTGGGCTTTATAATAAGAAGAATAAGCTTTTCTCACCCCCCAAAAGCCAGTTTCGCCCCTCAGGGGTGCCATCAGCCCCATCAAGAATGCAAGGGCTACAGCCTCTGGTCCTAGTGAAGGAACTGACACCCCCCCCGCCCCAGCGTGTGCGGAGCACACACAGCATCCAGGGAGAGCCCCGTGTAAAAGCAGGGATTTCACGGGAGCACGTGAAACCAAGGCACGAAAGGTAGGCAGCGGCTCTTCGAAAATCTGAGATGGTCCCATCATTTTTAAAACAAGGGCTTTCCAGGGGCACCTGGGTGGCTCAGCTGGTTAAGCATCTGCCTTTGGCCCGGGTCATGATCCCAGTGTCCTGGGATTGAGCCCCAAGTCGGCTCCCTGCTCAGCATGGAGTCTGCTCATCCCTCTCCCCACCCCCTACTCGTGCTCTGTCTCTCTCTCTCTCTCTAAGTAAATAAAAGCTTCAAAAACAAAACAAAAAAACAAGGGTTTTCCAGGGATGTGTAGGAAAAGTATCCTGGAACCAGAAGACCAGGCTTCGAACCCCAGCTCTCCCACTTACCGCTAATGTGTGACCTTCTGCTTGGCCTTGCTCTGCCTGCCTGTAAAATGGAGCTACCTCACGAAGCAAAAACTATCAGAAAGTTAAAAGAGCCACAGAAATGTTAACTTCTTGCTCCGGGAAGCCCATCGTAGCCCTCTGGCTCTGCAGACGAAGACACCGAGCAAGTGGCCCCGGGCGTCTCAGGGAATAAAGGTAGACTGAGGGACAAGAACCCAGCTCTGTGCTTCCCAGTGCAGTACTCCCCCCACCACGCTCAGCTTCCTCAGCTGAATGATTTCGCCAGGCTCCAAACTCTTAAAAACAACGCAATGACATTTCAACGAGCAGCTCTCTGCAAATGAGTATGCCGCTCGAGGAGTTGTGTTTAAATCTAATTATGCGGCAAACCAAAAGCGGTACCATATCAGTTACATAAATACTTTTAAAGACATCTTTCTAATTATCCTTTTTTTTTTCAGACAATATACTTCGAAGAAATTTAATTAACACCTTACGAGAGACGTGGGTTCAGCATGCTAATGTGCAGGGAGCATTAGCACGCTCTATCCACCACAGTCGGAGGCGCCAAGCCAGCCTCTCTGCGTCTATCACGGTGCCCGGACGGGAGGACGCAGGCTTGGCCCTTGAGGGGGGTGGTCAAGGCAGGTTAGACCCCCTCACAGGTCAGAGCAGGGCATGACCAGGGAGAAGAGGAAGATTCCCTGACTCGGATAGTGACCAGCAAGAAGGCCCTGGGCGCTCTTCCTCTTTGCTCTGCATCCATGCATCCATGCATTCATTCAGCCCAGCACATTCCTCCCACCCACTGTGGGCCAGCCTGGGGCTCAGTGCTGGGGGATGAGCCCAGCCTGATCCCAGGCCACGAGATCACAGCCTGATGGTGGAGACAGACTTGGCCAGGCAGTGACAGTAAGGCCACCAGCTTTGATTGGGCGATAGAGAAGCTGGGAGCCAGAGAAGGCCCAAACCCAGAGAGGGGCCCCCTAGAAGCTTCCTGGAGAAGGTAGGACCTGAGCTGGTCTGGGAGCTAAAATCTCCCTCCCATCCCTCTCTCCCTTCCCTCCTCCCCGCCCCTGACCCTCTGACAGACGGTGTGGCAGGTACCAGGCCTGTGATCACCTGTACATCCTGCCTGCCCCAGCACAATGGCCTGGACCAAGGGCAGCCGATCGCCACTGGGCTCCTGTCCTGGCATAGGAACATGAGTGAGCCAATCAGATTCATTCACTCATTCATTTATTCACCCCTATACACACTGAGGTTGTGGGCATGCCACAAGGTGACAGAGGCACAAAAAGACAAGAGAGAGGAAGAAGAGAGAGACAGGGAGCAAGATGCCACCTCCAGAGCCGCCTCTGGTCCCAACAACCTGTCCTCCCATGAACCCCTCAGCAAGGAGCCTGAGCAGGCCTCAGCCTCACCTGCCATCAGCCAGCCAAGAGCAGCCCGAGTTTCAGGGCTCCAGTTGGGCTAGCCCGCTGCTGGAGCCCAGGCTCTTTAATTAACTGCGTGCTTATTTCCCTCCACCCCGAGGCTACTGAGCTCAGTGAGGATGCAAACCTAATAATCCCCAGGAAAAAAATACAGACTCTCACTTCCCTGCAGAGTCCTCCAGCTATTTGGCTTGTAACAAATGCTCAACCTTGAAATAATAACAAACAGTCATGAGACGGGTGCTTGATGCTTCCCAGAGATCGAGAGCTGGTCATCCGGTAAGTGCAAGACATGCAATCACTGTCTTCACACTCACAATGACCAGGCAGGCAAGGTACTATGAGTGTGCCCATTTCACAGATGAGGACACTGAGGCTAAGAAAACATTCGACCAGGATCTCAGCCATGGAGATTAGTGGAGCTGCAATTTGAAGCTGGTTTTTGGTTCCAGAACTCACCCCCGGCTGGACTATTTCCAGTTCCAGCTCATTTCATTCAGTCAACCTGTGGACAAATGCTTACTGAGTGCCTCCCAAAGGCCAGGCCCCTGCTACGCACAAGGGATATGCCTGTGGACAGGATACCCACCAAGATCCCCTCACGGAGCTCCCAGAAACCCAGACTGGAAGTGTTCAGAAGTGAAGAAGAACAAGAGTCAAGAGAAAGGAAGAAAAAGAAAGAAAGAAAGAAAGAAAGAAAGAAAGAAAGAAAGAAAGAAAGAAAGAAAGGAAGGAAGGAAGGAAGGAAGGAAGGAAGGAAGGAAGGAAGGAAGGAAGGAAGGAAGAAAGAAAGAAAGAAAGAAAGAAAGAAAGAAAGAAAGAAAGAAAGAAAGAAGAGAAAGAAAGAAAGAAAGAAAGAAAGAAAGAAAGAAAGAAAGAAAAAGGAAGAGAGAGAGAGATCATCCAAGAAAATAGGAGAGCTTGACAGCATAATTTGACCCCTAGATCCTGCTGTATCTGAAGCTGGATCCAAACATGGACTTCTTCACTAACTAGGTGAGCCAATAAACTCTCCTTCATCCTTAAGACGATTCACATTGGGCTTCTGACACTTGTCATGCCAAACCCTGGCTAACACCTGAGTCATGGCAACCCTGGGAAGTTACTGAGGTTGGAAAAGTTAGTCTCGTATCCAAAGCCCTGGCTAGCACGTTAAAGAGTTGATTTGAACCTGGGTCTTCACAACAGGAATTTGGACATCTGACCTCAATGCCTTCTGTGCAGGAGAAAACAAAGCAAAGTGGTTATTCTCCAGTGACATTTCTGCAGGGGTTAGAGAAGTGACACCTGTAGCTCTCTGAGACCTAAAACCTGTCACCACCTCTCCCCTGCCCAACACAGGGTACTCCCACGGGGATCACGGCGGCAGGAAGGGCACAGAAGAGAGAACACAACCTCTGGCGCCCAGACCTAGGCCAGCACCCTCACGGGGTCACCTCTCCATGCCCTGGACCCTCCCAGCCTCCAGGCCACTCTCCAAGGTGGGGACAGCCTGCTCCCTCCTGGAGAAGGTGTGAAAACTCAAGGACCTTCGGGGTGGAGAGCTGGATGTGAGTGCCCCCCGCAGCTGCTCCCTGGGCCCTGGCTCCGTTCTCAGGGCTCTGTCACCCATGAGCCCCTGGCTCCCTGGAAGTGCGGCTCCTGGACCCAAAACCCACGGACATCAGAAGCCAGAGGCCATCCCCTCTGTCATCTCCACTCCCAGGGAAATGGGGAGCTCTGAAGGCCAGAAGTGGGGGGCAGAGGACTTCCTCCTGCAATGAGGTTCAAACTACACATCCAGATATGCGACCAGGCATCAGCCGCGGTGTTTCCGAATAGCAGAGCCTGGGGCAGCCCAGGTGGCTCAGCGGTTTAGCGCCACCTTCAGCCCAGGGTGTGGTCCTGGAGACCAGGGATCGAGTCCCACTTGGGCTCCCTGCATGGAGCCTGCCTCTCCCTCTGCCTGGGTCTCTGCCTCTCTCTCTCTCTCTGTGTGTCTCTCATGAATAAATAAATAAAATCTTAAAAAAAAATAGCAGAGCCTGCTAATCCCATCCCCTCATTCTACAGTGTGGAAACTGAGTCCCAGAGGAGGGGCAGTGACCAGTCAGCTCAGAGTCACAGAGCTGCCCAGCGCTCTCTTCACGAGGCCCCTGTTCGGAGGTGACCCCACCAAGCTGCCCTCCTGAGTCCTACGCCTCCCTTCCTTCTTTCCTCTGGGCCTTTCTTTGGCTGGTCCTTCCAGCCCAGGGGTTATGCCGCTGCCCCTGGGAAGCCCTCCCTGATCTCCCCCACTCTTCCAGGGCCGTACTCCCTGCCTTATCCTCACTCCCTTTTCTTTCTTCTTCCCATCTGCCCGCTGTGCTAGGCTCCAGGGACCAGCCCCATGCTGGTGGCAGGGAGAGACCCTAGAGCTGGGGCAGGGTTCGAGGGAAGCAGGGATCCAGTCTGAAGAGCCGTCAGAGGGCCTTCCCGAGGAAGTGACAGCTGGGTGAGATCTGAAGAATGAGTCCGTGTTGGCAGGACAAAGCGTGGGGGGTGGGGGTACAGCACAGAAGTGACAGCATGTGCAGGGACTCGAGACAGGAAGAGGCCCAGAATGTTCTAGGCTTAGTCTTCTCTCCTGCTTTCTCCCTTCGGCCTCCCTGGGCTCAAGGCTGACCCCCACTGTCTCCTGGGGGCCTCTCGATGTGAGGACAGGCTGGGACCACAGCCCACCGTTGAGGGATCGGCGCCCAGACCCAGCACGGCTAGGAGGTCCAGCAGCCGGACACCAGGGGCATCCCCAGGCCTGGCCCCAGCCACCCTCCCGCCACACTGCTACGTTCCTCAAGCCGTGCTTGGAGGTCTTTAACCGGGATGACGCAAGTGTCCACCAACAGGATTCCATTTAAAGGCCAGAGGGAAGAGTCACTGTGCCGGGCACCAGCCCCCAAGGCACCTCCAGGGCAGACCCTCGGGATAACCCCGTCCATCAAGCCTTCTCACCGGCCACCGGGCCACCAGGCCACCCAGGGCAGAGACCCAGGGCTCTCCCTAGACCACCACAGGGTTTCTGGGCTCTCAGGGTGAGGGGTCTTTGGTCTTGGGGCCCTGAACCCAGAGGCCCAGATCCAGAGATTCATTACTCAGGCAAAGGCGGCCTCATCACCACCGGGTCTCTGGGGGCAACCACATAAATCACACAGCTCAATCGGAGGCCATGTTTGGGTTGTCACTGTTGTTATTAAATATAAATTGTGGATTTATTAAATACGGCCCCCATGCTCCCTCACCCTGGAGACAAAGCCCAGGGCAGTGATAAATCACGTGTCAGGAAGCGGCATCCATCCTCCTGTCTCTCCCTCAACAGAGACTCGCCATGGAAACCTGCACAGCCACCGCCAGCAGCCCGCATGCTTCCCTCGTGCTGGATGCCTGCAGTCTGGAAGAAGGGGGGTGGGAGGCAGCAGCCCCCCAAGTCCCTGCATGGCCCTGGCTTCACACGACTTTATGTAAAGTTGTGTTTCAGAACCGGGCTGGCCTGAGCAGGCAGTGAGGGAGCTCTAGACCGGGAGCCCAGAACCAGGGCTCAGCCCATGCTCTTCGCCGGGCACTGCCTGAACCCCTGAGCCCCACTGCCAACGGGAGCCAGGAACCCCTGCCTCGGGACGCAGCCACTCCTCCAGGCCAGGAGAGATGGCAATGGGGCCGGCTGGGGTGAATCTGCTCTCCGTGCTCTAGCTGGGTGACCCCAGAAGGCCAGGAAGCATTTCCTCCACAACACCAGGATCATACGCTATTCCACGCTTGTGTGACATGTGTGCCAACCATCTGCCGCCCCACGGGAATGTCAGCTCAGCGTGGGCAGGGCTCTGTCCCTGACCCATAGTCCAAGCACCTAGCCCAGCCCCATGTGGACTAACAACACTGAACATTTGCTACCTGGCCCCCCTGTGTGGATCTACCTACTTGGTCCTCAGCATTTTAGAGATGGGGACACCGAGGCATCAAGATTCACAGCACAAGTCAGTGGCTGAGCCAGGGCTCAGACCCGGGCAGGAGAGCTCAGAGCACGCATTTCTAACCAGCATGCTATGCAGCTGCTTACAAACTTCCTGAATCCACAGCTGCTGGTGGGTTAAATGGGAGACATCACCCCTCTCTCCTGAGCTTGCTCACTGCGCTGCCTCAGGACCCAGTCTGGCCTGCAGGGGCCTGCATGGGAAACCCCCCTCCCGGCTGGGCAGTTTTCAGAGGCCCCGGTGCCCCAGCCCTCCCAGCCTGCTGCCCCCACTCAGCCTCCTCTGGGTCTCAACCTAGAAGTCCTCTTCTCCTGTCCTTCCTCCTTCCTCCACCACCCAGCCCTCCTCCCTTCTGACCTCCCCCGTTCCCCTAGCTCTGTTCTGGGGCTGGGGCCTGCTGGGTGTTCTGTGGGGTCCAGGCAGGGACACTGGAAGCGACAGCCCTGCGTGGTGCTGCAGGGTATTATCTCTGGTGCCCAGGGGCACAGGCCACAGGAGCCCCACTTGCTCTGCCTGCAACCCAGCTGCTCTTGCCTGTTCCCACTGGGGCAGCAGTCCGGCCCAGCATCCCGGGCCCTCAGGCCTGGTCACGCCCAGCCCGGGAGGACTAACCCCCTGGACAAAAGAGAAAACCAAGCTGGGGAAGACGGCTTTCCTCCCTGCAGCAGCCCCACCAGGCCTCAAGGTCCCCCACCCTCAGAAATCGAATAATGAAAACCAGGACCCTCCATCCAGACCCAATCTGCCAATCTGGCCCCAACATGGAAATAGGAGGTGGTTCCCCAAGTAGAAATGGGGAACAAAAAATAGTCAGCAGCCAGTGACAACACCAGACCTCAGTCCCCACAGAAATGAGCATTTTCCCAAGCGAGCACCGAGGGAAGACAGTGCTGGAGCCCACCCCAGGCCTGCTGCCCGCCTGCCATCCAGAGCCCTTCCTCCCATGAGGAATCTCTCCGCATCCACCCTTTACACCAGGGGCTGGTTCCTGAGGGAGACACAGAGTCACCAGGGGCAGCGGCCACCTGCCCCCAAACTCCTGGCCCGGGAGTGAAAAGTCCCTGGCCTCACTCTCCAAAGTTGTGCACGAGCCTGATTCTCCAGGCTCCCCAAAGCAAGGGCCATGAGGCCCCCACGTTACCACTGCTCCCTGGAGATGGTGCTCAGGGCCTTGGAAGAAGTCCAGGATAAAGGAGGAGAAGGGTCTTCCAGGAATGCAAGGAGCTTCCCTCTGCCACTTGGCCTCTCCAGACCTCAGAAAACCACCCAGGGCGGGGGAAGCTTCCCCACAGTCCCAGGGGATCTGGTCTGTACCCTGCTGGGACAGCCCTGGTATTCCCCATCAGCCCCAAGGGGCAGGCGGCAGGACTCCCCGGTCCCTCAGGAAAGCCTCCCTGCTTTCTCAACAGAAGTGGGGGGGGTCCGGACAAAAGGGAGGGGTGGTGGTCAGGGAAGCCAGCCAGCCCAAAACTAGGGTCCCAACCTGCCTGGAGCCTGGAGCAAGCCCCCTTCCCTCTCTGGGCCTCAGTTTCCACAGCTGTACAATGAGGAACGTGAGTTAGCCCAGGAGTCACCAACCCAAATACCAAGAGGGGGCAGCTGGAACTCGCCACCCCCAGACATCACCAGGAGCCTCTGTGGGCCTGAAGTCGCCAGGCCTTTCGGTTTTGTAAAGCAAAGCTGAAGTCTGGATTTTTTTTTTTTATATGCCATCACCTCATTTTTAAATATTTGCGAAACATCTCCTGGCCGACTGAAACAGGGACCGGAGCCAGCATCGGCCCCCAGGCCGTGGCCGCAGCTGCTCACACGTCCCTCCCCACTTGGAGCCTCGGTGATCCTGGGATTCCAGAAGCCCTTCAGCCAACAGGTGGAGACGGCCGGGCCCCGGGTCCGCAGCCGGTCCCACCCAGAGCTGCCCACTTACATCTGCACGTGCGGCGGCTGGAAGCGGCCCTGGTTGATGTTGTAGAAGGTAAAGGCCTGGGTGGGGTTGGAGCTGTACTCGTCCACTTCAATGATGAGTCGGCTGTGCTGGTGCCTCCGAGCAGCCATCACGTGAGACTGGGAGAACGCCATGCCCAGGCCGCAGGGCAGGAGGGCCAGGGCCTCTGCCTTCAGGACACCGGGATCCCACCTAGCGCGCCACATGGACCTCCGCTGGCCGCCCGGGCATCTCCCGCCGCCGCCGCCGCCCGGCCCCGAGCCAGGCTTGGGAGCAGACTGAGAAGACAGAGCAGAACCGTGCGACAGTTAATCTGTTTGGGATTTGCTTTATTTAATGTCAGATGAAGATTTAGAAAGACGAAGGGGGGGGGTGGAGAAAAAAACACAGTCATACAGCTCAAAAACTCATTACAGATCTTTCCAACTCAGCAGTTTGATGAATATACTTTGGTAAAAAGAAAAGGAGAGGAAGGGAGGGGACCACAAAAAAAAAAAAAAAAAGCCCACAACACCGAGGACGGATGCATGCGAGGTCCCACATGTTTAAATACTTAAGACATTATTTTTTTTTCTTCCGCAAAATGCTCAGGACAGGGTGACCAGGAGATGCGGCAGGACAATGGCTTGGTATTTTGCAAACAGGTGAGGTTAAGTTTCACTTATGGGAAGCAGGGGGAGTGGGGAGGATTCCCCTGCAGCCCCCCCCCACAGACCCCCAAACACACCACACCCGCACCCCTGCAAGCCCGAGCAGGTGGGAGCGCGGCGCAAATTCCTGCCTCAACACCAATGTCGCCTAAAGATATCTCTGAGCAGCGCCTGGAGAAGGGATTTTCCCAGACAGATTGCCATCCACCAACTCAGCTCAGGGGGTGGCCCTGGGGGGGTGGGGGAGGATCTACTTAAAAAAAAAAAAATCTTCCCAAATGCCTTATAAGGATGTCAGGAATTCTGAGGTTCCCCGTCAAATCTCCAAGCCACACAGAACCGCAGCTTGCAAATGCCATCATTCCCTTTGCCGTGTCTTCCCTTGCAGAGTGCCATCTGCATTTGCAGCGACTGGATTTTAAAGTCCTTCTGACCGGTGCTGGTGGCCCGGGCTCAGTCTCCATCCTACCCCGACGGGCTCCCGCGCTTCACACAACAGCCGATGCCTCCCTTCTAGGACCAGCTAGCTTTCTCCTGCTTTTTCCATTATCGTTAATTTTTTTTTTGACTGTGTAAACAGATAAGGCCTCGAAGATGTTTTGTTGTGTTTTGTTTCAATTTTTGGTCATTAAGACCCTCCGATTCCATTTGCGCTGCATTTAACTAAGGAGAAAATGACATAATTTAAAACTATTCCTGGTCAGTCATCTCCCAGTCACGTTAAACGAAGAAAAATCCCCCTTGCTTGGCACACGCAAGAAGAATCGACACCGTCAGAAAACAAATTAGATTAGGAAAATGACAAAAATTAGAGACTGGAGAACATTTTAATTACATGCGAAGGAGAAATGGATTGTTAATTTTTTAAAAATCTCAACAATCATGCCCATACAAGGTGTAATAAATATCAATATCCTCCTCCTCCCCCACCCCCACCAAAAAACCCCACATCCTGATTCACAATATATACCCCTCCCTCTTCTCCACTTGGGAAGACAAGGGAAAAAACCTGCTTCCCCCAGGATACACTTGCTCCTGTCTTTTGTCCTGCTAATTGTTTCTCTGTGATTTGGTTCTCCCAGCAGAGACTGGCCTGGCAGGCCTCTGAGGTGCCCAAGTGGAGAGGTCCTAGACTCCAGACTCACAAGATCTCTGTGGCAGCTGGCCTGTGCCCATCTGTGACCCTGGGAGAGGCTTGGGGGCAGCAGATGCTGAGGCCCAGGCATCCAAAGATCCAGATCTCAACAGAGGTTTGAACCCCAGCATTGGGGTTCACCGTGTGACCTCAGACCAATGTCCTAACCTCTCTGAGCCTCAGTTTCCTCTTCTGGAAAATTGGCAGAGCAATCATAACACCGCCTCCCAGGGCAGCTGTGCAGGTTAAATGAACGGGGATCCTGAGCACAGCATCTGGCAGGTACCAAGTACCCAGGTAACCCTCCACGTTACCATTATCATCGCTCTCCAGCTCAGTGTGACATGTGCGCACATCGAGGGCCTGCTGTGGGGGCATCTGTGGAATGGAGTGTCCACTGTAAGCAAAAGGGGCAGCTCCAGGAGCCCTGGGGAACCCAAATGTGTGCAAACACAAGCCGACAGGATCACACCCTGCCTGAAGTCCCTGCCACGGCTCTCCCTGGCTCCTCTGATGATGACCTGGTGTGCAGTCCCCTGCCCAGTGGCCTGCCCACAGTGCATCACCCAGAGGCCGCTGGCAACAGAGCCCTGTGGTCCTGTTTGGAGCTGCCCAATTCAACACCTCACAGGGGTCTTCTTCCTCAAGGCTCACCGCCCACCTAGGAGATGGACGTCCCTAAAGCTCCCACCCTACGGAGGAGAAGGCACACACCTAGGGGAGGTGAAGCCTCTTGCCCAGCACAGCCCAGGGCTGGCCACCGAGGTCGAGTTGCGGGCAGCCTGAGTCCAGGGCTCGGGGACCCCTCTGCCTTCCTCTCCTGGAGGGGCAGGGCCTGGGTCTAGCTCAGCCCCCATCCCCACCCCAGCCCCCACCAGCTCTGCAACCCTGATCCTGTGGCTTCACCTCCACGAGGCTCTGTCTCCCCATCCAAGAAACGCAGGGACAAATAGCACCTACCTCATTCAGTTATGGAGATTAAATGAGGGGACACATGGGAACTGCTTGTCACAGGACCCAGCCCATAGTGAGTGCCAATAAATGGTAGCTATTATCACGACATTATTACTGTCACCCCAGGACCGCTGCAGACACTTGCATACACATCTCGTTAATGAATGAATGGCTGCAGGGAGGGAGGGGGAGAGGGAGGAGGAATCCATGAATGGATGGATGGATGAATAGATGGAGGGAGGGATGGAAGGATGCAGGGATGGATGGGGGACCAGAGGAGGTGTCCCGCCCGTCTCTTTCCCCAGCGCCCAGTGCAGGCTTGGCAGAGGGTGGGTGCCCCCAGGCCTCCGCTGGAGGGTGACCCCTCACGGTGCCTCTCCCCCTTACCCACCACACAACCCTGCAGGGAGGCTGGCTGGCGGGGCACAGCCCCCTGAAAGGGGAGGTCTGGGGCCTCCCCCGTCCCTGCCCGCCCCCCAGGGGCTGGAGCCTACATGCCCTGCCTGGGGCCTGCAGCGGCAGGAGGACAGCTCTGCGGCAGGGGACGCAGCCAGGAAAGGCAGGCGGCAAGGCGTCCCGGGAGGCGCTCCGCAGTGCAATGCTGCATTTCACATAAAGGGGGTTCGCAACGGGCCCTGCTTGAAGAAATCTGGGAAACCGGGAACACGGAGCCTTCTTTTAATACCCATTTAATATTTATGGAGCCGCAGCAGTGCGTCAGCCACCGTGTGGAGAACGCAGCCGATCGCGGAGGGAGGACAGCGGTTCCCAAACAAACGGCTTCTAGTGGGGGAAGCGTTTACACCTGGGCCACAGCACAACACAGCAGGCGGGCGGTGCAACCCCGGGGTTCCTGCCCCGACGCCCCCTGCAGCACACTGGCCCCGGGCAATGCCCACACCCCAGCCAGGCCACAGGTGCCTCCTCCGTGCCCGCGGCTGGGAAGGAAACAGAACTGGGATGAGGGTTCTCGAACATAGTAATCAATGCATTCACTTGTTCGGCAGCCACTGACCACAGCCCTACACGCGCTGTTCCAGGAGCAACAAGAAAGCAAACAGGTCACTGCCCTCAGGGAAGGGGGTGGCGGGGAAGCAATAAAGTAATCACAGAAAGTAAACAGAAAAGATACTTTTCAGATACTAATTCGGGCCTGGAAGAAGAGGGGACGGAGTAACGGGATACTGAGTAGTAGTAGGAAAAAGGGGATTGTTGCCTGCAATTGGGCAATCAAGAAAGGCCTGTCTGAACACCTCAAAGGTGAGTGCGGAGGGGGAGCCAGCCACACCCAGACCTGGAGAAAGAGAAACCAAGGCAGGGGGAAACAGCAAGTGCAAAGGCCCTGAGGCAGGGGGAGCATCCATAAATGGTCTCTCTCCTATTGTTGTTCTCAGCCACTGGGGCTTCTGCAGTGGAGAATGGTCAAGTCAACTTTCAGGTCAGGGGCAGTGGGTTCAAATTCAGTCTCCAGTGTTGAGCGTTAGCTGTGCGACCCTGGGCATGACACCTAACCTCTCTGTGCTTCTGCTGCCTCAATAGCCCCCTCTCAGGCTAACAGAGGAGACAGAAGTGAGCCTGGTGCCTGTCTCTCCATAAAGGCCCAATCGGCCCAGTTGGGAGGGTTGAAAATTCTTGGAATTTCTGGGTTGAAAGACTGCCTCCAATTTGTAGGGCTCCCTTTTCGAGTCTGATTCTCTCACAGGGTGATTTGTCTTTCTGTTTCCCCCTCAAAGACACTCACTAGCTGGTCCTCGGATGCCATGGGTCAAGTCAAGCCAGGGTCTCAAAGAGGAGCCTGGACATCAGTCCTGGCACCAAGCGGTAAGCAGACATTAGGCACCAGCTGTAGGGAAAGGTTGTATGTAGAAAAGAGGCCCGACTCCTTGTCAGGCCTCCTATGCATCGTCAAGGCCAGCGCCAGGCCAGCCTCCAGAATGAAGGTCCTAAAATGCACTTTTGAACAAGCCATTCCCTCGTGCTCACTGCATGTCCACACAGGCATCCTACTGCTCTGGGCTAAAGCCCCAGATCCTTAGATCGGCTCAGGAGGCCACACTGGGTGCCCAGGCTCCGTCTCACCACTCAGGACAAGCTCACCACTCCCGGTTTCCCCCGGCACACCAGCAACCCCACCTCTGAGCCTTCACACACGCTGTTCCCTCTGCTGAAAGGCTCCGTGCACAACCCCACCTCCAGGCGCACACACCTGTCTCCCCGACCTCCCCAGACTGGGCCAGGTGCCTCCACTCATAACCCCCCAGGCTTCTCTCACCATAGATCCCATGTCTGAGCTGAATGAGAAGCCAAAGAATAAAAGCACAGGTGAACAAATGAATGAATGAGACAAACTGCACAAGTCCTCATAATTCATAGCCTGGATTTAAAAGCAGCTTTAACCTCCCGAAGCTTGGGTGTCTCCTCTACAAACACGTGGACCCTCAACCTCCTTCCCAGAACCACTGGGTGGATTACAGGACCTGGGACCTGCGAAAGCCCCTGGCTGAGGGTCCAGCACATAGTAGGTGCTCACTAACTGTCT